TAGGCATGTGAAGCCGCAGCTGAACTATCATCACGACGTGACATCACGACGTGACGCTAGAGCTCTTCGCTTCCCGATGAAAAGAACACAGTCTGACAGCATTTCAGGGGGTTCAGGGTTTGGAGTTTACGGTTTGGGATCGGGAGGTACCAGCCTCGAGTATGTTGAATTCTTCATAGACTCGTAAAGCGTGATGACACGGCTGCTGGTAGACTTTATCTACGGTTAACCGTGTAGGTTTTCGACACGTCTAGACTGACACCGTAAATCGTGGCTACTTTGAGATGGTCGGTTAGAGTGGACTTGTTTGGGACTCCAGTCGTACGTGTGGCGGAATCGAAGAAATAAAGAATTGCTGCCAAATCCGAGTTGGGAGCGAGAGAAAAGGTGTCCTTCTTGAGCTAGGATGTAGCCTTCATGGCTGTGCCATACCGCCCCTAAACCCCTAAACCCTAAACCCCAAACCATACCACCATAGACATGGTAGCAATTTCTAAGTCTTGATTCTTGATACCAGGGAATGCCAACAGGACTCATTCCAATGATCCTTCACACTGGAAACTCCGAAACACCACTATGAGCACCCATAGACTTCCCAAAGGGTACAAAGTTATAGGATAGTATATACTTTTGGGGCCCAAATACCTACAAAGTAGCCACTATATTACCCCTAAACCCTAAACCCTAAACCATATTAATACTTTGACCCTTTGAGCTTCCAAATCCCCCAATGAGCAAGATTTCTTAACATCACGTACGGTATTGTATCGCTTTGATATCGCTTCTCTCCACCGCCTGCGTGGGGTGCCTCCAACACACCCCATCGAAGTCGGCCGGTCGGCATGAACTCGTAGCTCAAAGGCTTTAGGGTTAGTGTGCTCAGCTTTGGGGCTAGGGTTTTTTGGTGGTTATATACTCTAAACCCTAAACCCTAAACCCTAAGGTTCGCTTCAGAGAACTGGGGGTGCTCAGCTTAGGGGCCAGCGTTTTTAACGGGGTTGTAATAAGATTCACGTCAGGAATAACCCCTGAACCCTAAACCCGAAA